CTATAGTTTTCACCTGATGTGTTGAAGTTTAGCTTTGAAATTTAGATCTTGACCAAATTTGAGTTATTTTTTGTGTAGGTTATGAAGTTGGGCAGAAAGTTAAATCTTTGGGTGGGGGCTCCTATGGTTGTCTAATGTTCCAGCACCATTTGCTAAAGCACTCTCATTTCTCCCCTTTGAATTACGTTCACAAATTTATTTAAAATCCATTGACCCAAAAAATAAAGGTTTATTTTTTGGAGTTTCTATTCTGTTCCATTTGATCTCTACATCAATCCTTACACCAGTCCCATCATCTTTATTATTCTGGCTTTATAGGGAAGTTATAACGATCTTCTGGGTCAGATCTGGGGACTGTGGCACCAACTTCAAGTCAGGTACTCTAAGTCCTCCAATTTTGTTCTCATTCTCTAAATTATTTTGGCCACTCTAAGTCCTCTGAATTTTCATATACACTTTATGATCAGATTTTTTTTTAAAGAAAAACAAAAGCTAGCTGGGGATTCAATAGAGATCATGGCAAATCTGTAGATCAATTTGGGGCAACTTTTCTATCAAGACAATACTGAGTCGTTCCAATCCATAAATATTACAAACCTTTCCATTTATTTTGTCTGTTTCATTTCTCTCAGCAATAGTTTGAAGCTTTAAGTGCAGACAGATTGTGCACTTGTTTTATTATTTTATTATTTTTGGTGCTATTGTGAATGGTATAGATTTCTTAGTACTGTTTTCAGGCTCTTTATTACTAGTGTATAGAAATATAATTGAGTGTTTTATATTGGTTGTATATCTTACCATCTTGCTAAGCTATCTTATTATTTCTGTTAGCTTTATCAGATTTGCTAAGATCATGTTTCCTGCAAATTAATAGTTTCATTTTCAAATTAATATGGTTTTAATTTCTATTTCTTGCTTTACTGTACTGACTGGAAATTTAGTAACATGTGGAATGCACATTAGAGGTGAACATTTTCCCTTGGCCCCCATCTTAAGGGGAAAGCATGTGGTATGAATTAAGTATGGATTAGTTCCAAGGTTCATCAGTGCTTTCTATCATATTAAGGGTGTTTTTTTTTCTAGGTTGTGAAATTTTTTATCATCAACAGATGTGTTATGTCAAGAGCTTTTTCTGTATGGTGCACTTATGTTTAATGTACTTTAATTTTTTAACATTCTTATTATCTTAATTTATTTGTAGATGTTTTCATTCTTGCATTCCTGGAAATAACCCTAAGTTAGTCAGGTGTATAATCCTCTGTGTGTGTGTGTGTGTGTGTGTGTGTGTGTGTGTGTGTGACTGAATTTACTTGCTAATATTTTGTAATATTTTGTTAATGATATTTGCCTCCACATTTATGAATGACATTGGCTTATGATATTCTTTTGTGATGGCATTGTCTGGCTTTGGTATCGTATACTGGTTTCATGGAATAAATTGGGAAGTATTATTTCCTTCTCTGTTTTCTGAAGGAGTTTGTGCACAGTTGGTACGATTTTTTTCTAAAAGCATTAGGTAGAGCCCAAGCTGCTTTGACTCAATAGATAGAGCATTGGCCCATGGAATTAAGGATCCCAGTTCAATTCCTGTCAAGGGCATGAACCTTGGTTGCAGGCTCCATCTCTGGCCCTGGTCCGGGCTTGTTTTGGAGGCAACCAATTGATGTGTCTCTCTCACATGGATGTTTTTCTATCTGTGTCTCTCCTTCTCCCTTCCACTCTCTCTAAAAATCAATGGGAAAAATATCCCCATATGATGATTAACAAAAAAAAAATTAGTTAGAATTCACCAATAAAGCCGTCAGAGCCTGATATTTTCTTAAAGGGGAATTTAAAATTTGGAGTTCAGTGTCTTTACTTGTTATATATGTATTTGAATTTTCTATTTCTTCTTGAATCAATTTTTGTGCTTCTAAGAAAAACCATTTTCTTAGAAGAACAACAACAAAACAACTTAGTTTTTTCTTCATAGACTCCTGGCTACTTTGAAAAGGGCTCGGGATACGGTCCAGATCAGCTAGAATCAGTCAGGTTGATGGGGAGGGGCACGTAATAGAAATAGAATCACGGTTGTTCAATAGCTACGCCCTCTAAAGAACTATTCTTACAGACCCTGGGGAACTGGAGCATATGTTGCAGGGAAGAACAGGCCCTGGAGAGGAGGCAACCTGGAGTCCAGATCAAGGACAGGGCCTCTCTGAATGGAGACGGCCTTCCCGGCTAATCTTCTCCGGGGCTAGTCTCTGCAAGGACAGTGAAGAAAGGCAGACCCTGGAAACCCACCGATTTTAGATTTTTTCCCCACCCACTATCCCTGTATAAAAGCTGGTTTGAAATGAAATGTCAGAGCAGTCTTTTCAGGGTGTTACACCTGCTGCTCGGAAGCCGGCTATCTGATTAATAAAACGCACCATAAAGGTTCAGCCTTGTCTCTACTTATTTGAATCTGGTGGCAGTGGGCAGTCAGACCCTTGCATGTCTGGTATCAAGGTGGCAACCTGGGCCTGCAGGGGACTATGGGGAACCAGGAGAAAGAGGAACAACAGGAGGCGCTCAGCAATGTTTGTGGTCCCATCGCTGGGATCTTGCCATTCATGTAGAGGGATGAAGCTAGCCAGAGGAAGATGTGGTCCCTGGGTGAGCTGGTTCCCAGTGACGGATTGGTTTCCATTAAAAGCCCTCTCTGGCACATGACTCCCCACTCGGCACACAGTGTTCACATGTCCCTCATTTCCTGACTCTTCTCCTTCTGCTGTGGCACTTCTGTGGCCACTAAGAGGGCATCTGGCAGGGCCATCAGGCTCAGGCGACTGTGTTTGTGCCAGGGTCCCCAGATCTGACCCAGAGGCACCAACACCCTGGACAGAGTATGTGAGTCTCAGCTCCTGGAGCAAAACAGCTGACTTGTCAAGTGTGACGAGGAAAGTGGGGATTGACTCCTGGGCCACGGTGAGCAGGAGGTCGGGGGGGCCATGAGCTGGCTGCTTTGTCACTGAGGGGCTGTGACAGGAAGCATTCTAGGTAGAACTGAGGACCATGTAAAATGGACTCAAGTGAAGGTGATGAAGGGTGGTGCTGCCCACCAGCCCAGCTTGTCTGAGGCCCCCTGCGTCGCATGGTCAGGGCCTGTCCCCACCCTCCCTCCACTCCCCCACAACTGGCAATGGGCAATGGACATGGTCAGGGGCTGTCCCCACCCTCCCTCCACTCCCCCACAACTGTCAATGGGCATGGTCAGGGGTTGGGCTTTATGAGGTCCCTTGGTCTATGTTGTTGCCATGTCAACCAGGGAGGTCCTGGGGACTGGTTGCAAGTCCTCATTTTGGCCTGGCCTGAGCAAGAGAGTGCACCCTGTTTTGTTCAGTCAGGACGACTTTGAGAATTGAGAAAGGAGAGTGTGTTTGGCAGCAACGGAGGTGCGTGCTTCACTTCTTCCTCTGTCCTCACCAGGGGACTAGCAGGTTTGGCCACTGGAGGTCCAGAAAGATAGTCCAAGACCCAGCAAGACACAGCAAACTAACGATTCATAAATGTTGGGGTCTGTGTCCAGTGACGGGGTTTAGACATGTTTACACAGAGGTCATAGTGTCATAAAGACGCCAGTGAGTGGTCTATGTGGTGTGTATGTGTGTGTAGTGTGTGTGCATGTGTATTTGTGTATGTGTTGTGTTTTGTGTGGTGTGTGTGGGCTTGGGTGGTGTGTGTGTGGTACATGGTACTTGGTGGTGGTGGTGGTGGTGTTGGTGGTGGTGGTGGTGGTGTGTATATGTGTGTGATAGTGTGTGTGTGGTGGAGTGTGTGTTCATATCCAGCGGCAATATGAAAACTGTGTGTTAGGTGGGAGAGGGAGGAAGAGCATTTTCCCTGGCTCTCAGCTCTAGGGCCTGAGCAGTTTGGCTGCATGGCGCTGGTGGGAAGTGGGCTTCATGAGAGAGAATGAGCCTGCTCTGGCCATTGTCTTCTGTGTTGCTCTCCCAGTCCTGGGGTCCTCACCAGCACACCTCCCCTTAAGAAGTATAGAGAAATGGGTCTGTGCCATTGGAGATGGGACAGCACTATTGTTTCATTTCTCTACGTGTGGAGCAGGTGGGGTAGAGCTGAATCTGCAGTTGGAAGTGGTATTTCCCACAAGGTCTGGCCCCAAACTGATGGACATCAGAAGTTGGATGGATGGGTGGTTGGGTAGATGGGAGGCTGATTACCCTGGAGTTACTCCTTCGGGTGGGGGGAGGGGCTGTTCCACACTTGGCACTTTGTCCACACAGGGAGGCTGTGGGAGCACTCAAGGGGACCCCACTTTAATTGTGCCCATTTAAATCCATAAAATAATGACACAGGAAGTCAGGTGTTTGGTCCCAGGTTTTTTTTTTAACTGATCTGATCTCCCAAGAGATAAGAATTTGAATTAATAAATACACATTTTCTCTTTTGCACATATGTCAAAGGCTAAAGCAAACAGCAGTTAAGAAACATTGGAAGGCCAATGGACTTTGATATTCAGCAGGGCTGAATCTTGCTGTGATTGCAATGGCTCAGAGATTTCCCAACCTGATAATCTTTACATTGTTTACCAAACTTTACCTTTGATCTGCCTGTATGCATTGCTAAAGGGCAAATGTGTATTCAAGTAAATCAAAAGTGGACCAGGCCAGAACTCAGGGTGCCTCTACAAGAAAGAGGTTTCCACCTGGCCCCCCAATGCCTGCCAAATTCTTATTTCTTGTATAGCATTTTCATTTGTGCATCAGCCCCTTCTTCAGATCCTGAACATAGCCGTGCAGGTCGCAACACACATATTTCAAACTGGGTGAAAATTACACCTGGCTTTTATTAATGGAGATGAGAGCAGGCCCTACTGAGAGGGGATCAGTGATATGAGGGTGTGCAGCACCATAAGGTGGGGAATAGCAATCCATACCCTTTATACCTACAGAATCCATTTACATCCCTTAGCGCTGTGCAGAGCTGCGGAAGCCCAGCGAAGCACCTGGGAGAGCTCCATGCAGCCTGTGAGTGAACCACGTAGTGCCCAGGAGAGCCCAACCCAACCGGCTGGGGAGCCAGGCACGGCACCGGGAAGAGTCCCACACAGCACCTGTGAGAACACCCAGCTGTGCCTGCAGAAGCCCCAGACAACACCCTGGGGAGCTCAGAGAAGCACCTGCCAGAGCCTCACCCAACAGCATGGGGAGTCTGCTGGGGCACTTGAGACAGCCCCAAGCATTGCCTGGAAGACCCCCAAGCAGAGCCTGCAGGGATCCCACACCTCATTGTGGGAAACCACCATCATTGCCAGCCAGAGCTCGGCCCAACACCTTCGAGAGCTTGGTAGAGGGACTGGGGGAGCCCCAAGCATTGCCAGGGACATCTCCAAGCAGAGTCTGCAGGGGTCCCACACCTCATTGTGGGAAACCACCATCATTGCCAGCCAGAGCTCCGCCCAACACCTTCGAGAGCTTCGTAGAGGGACTGGGGGAGCCCCAAGCATTTCCCGGGACATCTCCGAGCAGAGCCTGCAGAGGTCCTACACCACATCCTGGGAAACCACCATCATTGCCAGCCAGAGCTCCACCCAACACCTTCAAGAGCTTGCTAGAGGGACTGAGGAAGCCCCAAGCAACACTTGGGAGTGCTTTGGGCTTCAGTCACTGCTTTCATTTATGTGTCCTAAGAAGCTGGGGGTAAGTGTATGCCTGGTGCTCATAGTTTTGGCAGATGCCACCTTGCTCTCCTTCTGCCTTCTGACCAAGGGTGCCTGTGACAGTTGCAAAGACTGATAACTCTGCCATCAGGTTTTGTTCCAACTTGATTCCCTTGTAGATTTGACTCAGACGTAATTGCAGATTCATTTGCTCACCACTGTGGGTAATTTTCCGATTTCATAGTGAGAACCTTTTCCGTGTGCTTTCACTCTCACACATGTTAGGAGCTTCCAGTTTGCTCTCACACTTTTGTCATACTTTGGCTGCGTCTATTTTAAGTTCCAGAGATTCTCAGAACTTATAGACTTGCTCTGTATTAAATTGTATAAAATCTGCATCCAGTTACAACTTTGAGGTATCCATCTATTATATATAATCGATCTTCCTTTCTTTCTTTCTTTCTTTCTTTCTTTCTTTCTTTCTTTCTTTCTTTCTTTCTTAATATTCCTCTTTGGACTTTGATTGTCAGCTATGCTTTTTACTGTTAGTTATTTCTTATATCAGCATGATAATTTTATTTTCAAATCTTATTTTTAAACTGATACTAGAGACCCGGTGCATAAAATTCATGCACTCGGTGGGAGTTCCCCTCAGCCCAGCCTGAGTCCTCTCACAGTCCAGGAGTCCTTGGGGGGTGTCCCGCCACTGCCACTGCACTTGCCAGCCATGAGCCTGGCTTCTGGCTGAGCATCGCTCCCTCTGTGGGAGCGCACTGACCACCCAGGGCCATCTCCTGCATTGAGTGTCTGCCCCCTGGTGGTCAGTGTGCATCATAGCAACCTGTCGTTCCACCGTTTGGTTGATTTGCATATTAGCCTTTTATTATATAAGACTAGAGGCCCAGTGCACAAAAATTTGTGCACTCAGGGGGGAAGGAGGTGGGGTCCCCCAGCCCGGCTTGTGCCCTCTCGCAGTCTGGGACCCCTCAGGAAATAACGACCTGCTGGCTTAGGCCTGCTCCCGGGTGACAGAGGGCACGCCCAATCCCTAGGTGCAGCCCCTGGTCAGGCACAGAGCAGGGCTGATTGGGGAGTTGGGGCGCTGCCCCCTGTCATGCACAGAGCAGGGCCCATCAGGAGGGTTGGGGCTCCGTACCCTGTCACACACACAGCAGGGTCGATCAGGGGGTTGGGGCGCCTTCCCCTGTCACACACAGAGCCGCAGGGCAATGAGGGGATTGGGGAGCTCCCCCCTATCAGGCACAGAGCAGGGCCGATCAGGGAGTTGGGGCGCCTTCCCCTGTCACACACAGAGCCACAGGGCGGTCAGGGGGTTTGGGCGCTGCCCCCTGTCACGCTGATCCCGGTGCCCGGAGGCATGTTACCCTTTTACTATATAGGATAGAGGCCTGGTGCACGTGTGGGGGCCAGCTGGTTTGCCCTGAAGGGTGTCCTGGATCAGGGTGGGGTCCCCACAGGGGTGGATGAGGGGCTGAGGGCCGTTTTCAGGCTGGCGGGTGACTGAAGCTCCCAACTGCTCCTTTTTTTTTTTTTTTATTCTGGGCCAGCTTTAGCTCTGAGGCCTCGCTGCTGAAAACATTGATACAATGTTGCGGTCCGGCTGGCTGAAGCCCGGCTGTCTGAAAGCGGGTTTCTGGGGTTTTGTTTAGCTTCTATATTTGCAACATAGTTGCTTAGAGTTGCAGCTGAGAGGCCGGCAAGTCAGGCGGGGAATGTTGGAGTTCACCGTCACTGGAGCAAGCAAGCCTCCTGTTCGCTTCATTGCATGGCTGCCGGCCGCCATCTTGGCTGGCAGTTAATTTGCATAAGGATATGCTGATTAGCCAATGGGAAGGGTAGCGGTCGTACACTAATTACCATGTTTCTCTTTTATTAGTGTAGACTAGAGGCCCAGTGCACAAAAAATTTGTGCACTTCGGGTGGGGGGTCCCTCAGCCCAGCCTATGCCCTCTTGCAGTCTGGGACCCCTCGGAGGATGTCCACCTGCTGGCGTAGGCCCGCTCTCTGGGGGATAGGGCCCAAGCTGGCAGTCAGACATCCCTCTGGCAGCCTGGCAGCCCTCGGGGGATGTCCACTTAGCAGGAGGAAGCAGACCTAAGCTGGAGTCAGACATCGTTAGTGCTGCTGAGGAGGTGGTAGAGGCTCCTGCCACCACTGCTGTGCTGGCAGCCATCAGCCCAGCTTGTGGCTGAGCAGAGCTCCTCCTGTGGGAGTGCACTGACCACCAGGGGACAGCTCCTGCATTAGCATCTGCCTCCTGGTGGTCAGTTGTGTCAAAGTGAACAGTCATTCCTAGTCTTTCTGCTGTTAGGGTGAGTTTGCATATTACCCTTTTATTATATAGGATAGAGGCCTGGTGCATGGGTGGGGGCCGGCTGGTTTGCCCTAAAGGGTGTCCTGGATCAGGGTGAGGGTGCCGCTGGTTTGCCTGGCCAGCCTCGGTGAGGGGCTGATGGCTGTTTTCAGGCTGGTCAAGCCACCCACAGTGGGGACCCTCACCCCATGGAGGTTTGGCCGGCCTGGGTGATGGCTGTTTTCAGGCTGGCCACAACCCCTTCAGGATAGGGGTCCGGCTGGGGTGCCTGACCAGCCTGTGTGAGGGGCTGATGGCTGTTTTCAGACTGACCAAGCCCCCCAGCGACTGAAGCTCCCAGCCTTTTCTTTTCTTTTCTTTTTTTTTTATTCACTCCAGCTCCGTGGCCATAGCAACTGGAAGCAAGTATCTGGGGTTTATTTACCTTCTATAATTGAAACTTTGTTGCCTTGAGAGGAGGCAGCAGCTGTCCAGAAAGCTTGGCTTCCTCCATCATTGGGGTAACCAAGCCTCTTGCTCGCTCCAGCTCTGTGGCTGCTGGCCGCCATCTTGGCTGGGTAATTTGCATATGCTCACTCTGATTGGTTGGTGCGCGTGGTTTAAGGCATAGCGAAGGTACGGTCAATTTGCATGTTTGTCTATTATTAGGTAAGATTACCTCTGTGTTTTGCCTAAGCACCATCCCCAGGTATTTTGCCCTGTTTATATAAGTGATATTCTCTCATGTGTCCCTGAGATTGTCATGAAACCGAAGTAAGCTTGGGGCAACTATGGCCACATGTCCAATGGCTGTCACACCAGAGAACCACAGTGGATGACCAGAAGCAGTGGACAGCAGCCAAAATGTGCTCTGGGGAAAATTCCCAAAGGAATTCACAAATAATAAGAAAAACGCTGAGAATATTTCTTAATATCAACTATATATTCTATACATATTATTCAGAACAGACAATGACGTCTGCACAGGGCATAATGTGGCAGAGTTTTTCTGAAAGTCCACTTGTAGCAGCTGTGAAATACCACTCACCTCTCCCCCACATCTCAAATGCTCCGTGGTCCCTCTGACTCCCAGTCCTTTCCTTTCCCGGGGCTTCTGCCCCCCTGACTGCGCAGAAGGGGCCCCCGGTTCCCTCCCACCCTCTCTACCTGGGCGATACCAGATGCCCAGAGGTCACAGGCCCTCCCTGTCCCTGCACAAGAAATAACACAGAACACTCTGCAAAACTGGTGTCTGTTTGTGTTTTAGAGGGGAACTTGCAGGAAGAATTCTGAGGGAGGATTTCTATAGAACAAAAGATCACCTCATCACACCAGCAGTTATCTATTCCTGCATTGCCTCATTGCCCCCGGGGATGAGGGCCTGGTGGTGACCCAGGTTTTCATCTCACACTGATGGGTCTCCTGATGAGTCCAGGCACCTCTATGAACAAGACCCGGACTTGTTCATAAAGCCACTCCTATATGATGGCCTGGGCCATGCTCCTGACCCTGACCTAAGCTATCTGCATCACTGTAGGCTGTTCCCTGGCCATGAGGGCCTGGTAGGGCCCACAACCAGTGGTGCTGGTGGGTGGGTGCCCCTTCATTTCCTGAGCCCTATGGGCCACATTCCCCCTAAGAGCTGTTGGCCACAGCTGCGTCGTGGCTGCCTGGATGGCTCTGCAGGAATGCCTTGCCTTGGATTCCCCTGTCAGGGTCCTCTGCTGGCCCTGCCACCTCTGCTACCACCAGTGGTCCCAGGAGAGGCAGGGTGAGGGGTTCCCGCCCCTGGGGTGTCCCTGGCCATGCCTGGCTGTGGGAAGGAGGCCCGTGGCCTGCCAGGCTCCCCATTTTCCTCTTGCAGATGGACGGCTGTGGCAGGAGCCAGAGAAGAGTCCTCCCAGAATCTGCAAGCAGGACACAGCAGACATTGCTGCCTCGCCTGTCCAGAGTGAACGGCTGGTCGAAGCCCCTCCACGGATACCAGGCAGTATCCTGGGCCATATTTGTGACTTTGGCCTTAGCCATGTTTGGCATTTTTATTCCCATGCTGCCTGGAATGTGGAAGTACATTGTCTATGGAGTATCCTTTAACTGGGCATCACCTGCCTATTGTCTAGAGTGGGGAGGGGTTAGAAATCACAGTCCCTTTCCCCTGGAGGACTCACCTCTTTGTTCCCAAGGGACATAGCAGTTTGAGAAAGGCTTGGGAAGTTGGCCGCTGGCAGCACTGCAGAGCTGACTGGGCAGCCCAGGACTGGTGCCCCTGGCACCTCCACTTTGAGGCTGAGGGTACGAATGGAGGGAATGCTGCCCTCACACTCCCTGGCAGTGGTCTGGTGTGTGAGCGGAGCATAGTCATAGGAGCAAAGGCCTTGGGCCACACACCTCAGTCCCAGCCTCACCTCCTCCCAGAGAAGATGCCCCGCAGCCACCTGGCCAACCTCCTGTCCGTCCCCCAATAAGGCTGGCTGCCCCTCTCCCACGACCTTCAGAGTGCAGCTTGGTGCCTACCTGGGCACACAGGCCTTCCCCTTGGTGAAGCTCATGGGACCCACACCCTTAGAAATGCACCTGTTGGCCCCTTGCAGGACGGTGTCCCAATTTGAAAGCCTCCTTCCAGCAGGTCTGCTTTGTCCTTCCTGGAGGGAGAAATGAGGGGCAGGAGAGGCTGTCCTCGGTCCCTGCCACTAGCTGTGCCCACAGCTCTGGTCAGGCGCCAGGGCCTGGACACCTCGTGCTGTGCTGTGCGGGGCCTGGGTTCAGTTATTCCTTGACACTCTTCCCACAGGTGAGCGGCGGGATGTTATTGTTCCATGTTATAGTGTACCTCGTCTGTGTCTCCATCGACCCGGGAGAGGATAATGTGAGGAAGAAGATTTACAGTGAACCACTGCCCACGTTCGACAGATCCAAGCAACACCATGTTATAGAAGATCTGTATTGCTGCCTATGTGGGGTCACCGTGTGAGTGCTGGGGCATAAGGCCAGGCTGCACCATGGCCTGCACCCACTGGGTGGACTGCCACGTTTAACGCTATAGCCCCTCATGAAGGGCAGTGCCATGCTGCTTCCCCGAAGAAGCAGGGGCTGTTTACATGCAGCAGGCTGGAGCTGTGACCTCAGACACACACCGCCTCCCCGGCCCCTGGCTGATCGAGGAGCCAGAGAGCACTGTCTTTCTTGGGCTTTCTCAGATGAGCCCCCCGCCCCAGTGATCCACAGGGTTGGTCAGGTACCTGGGTCTCCCGTGGCCTGGGAACTTAAGTGGCCAGCCTGGTAGTGGGGCCCAGGGCTCAGGGCAGATCCTAGCCCTGGCCCCAGGCCTCAAACCCTGGCACCACGTGGCAGGCGTGGCCGAGCGGAGCAGCCCCACCACTTGGACACAATTCACTCTGGCTGGGTCTGCTGCCGCCTGATCCCCTCCCCTCCCCGCTATTGGCTGAGGGGACTCTGACCCCATTCTTCACCTGCACAGGTTGCTGACAAGCTGCTTCTCCCAAACGTTTCCTTTCAGGAGCGAGAAAGCCAAACATTGCCGGGCCTGCAACAAATGCATCGCTGGCTTTGACCATCACTGCAAATGGCTCAACAACTGTATTGGGAGCAGGAATTACTGGTGAGGGAGCTGGCAGCGAGGGGAGGGTAAACGGGGGCCCTGAAGTAGGGTTTGCGGGCTGGGGGCCTTGTGGTTAGAGTGGGGGGTCATGGGCAGAGGGGGCTGTGTGCCATTGTTCGGTACAATGGAGCTCAGGGTCCCTCCTGTCTCCCTGTCTGGTTCTGAAACGTGTTTGGATGGAGCCGACCCTGAACAGGCCATGTGAAGTCCATCCTCACAACATCTATCGCTGGAGACCCTTGTTAGCATTGGAGAGGAGCAGCCCCTTCCACAGGGCACGGACTAGGCTGGAGAGTTTGTGACCTGCTGGTCTGGGTCCCTTCGCTTTCTGTCCATTGAGCTGTCAGGCCCCAAGCACAGAGGATGTTTGCAAGGCGTCCTGGCTGGGAGGGAGCCCTGGCCTGAATAAGGGGGAGCAGGGAAAAGCAGGCTGGCCCATGGGCTGGAGACACCATGGAATCTTGCCCGGAAGTTCTAGGTGGGCCAGGCCGCTTGGGAAGGTAACACCCCATTTCGGTGAGTCAGTTTACCTTTGTGAGCTGAGGGTGGTCCCCCGTTTTGCAATCTCTGATGGAGATTAAATGAGGTCACCATCTGTATGTTGTGAGTCAACATAACACTGTAGGTGTGATCAATGGTGGCGAATTAGTGGCATCATCTAGAGCGCTGGAGAGATGCTCAAAAAACAAAGAGCTAGCGACTAAGGGGCTGCGCTCTCCCAGGCAATCAGAGCAGCATTCAAGGTCAGGCACGTGCCCTCTGCTGCCTGGGCAATGGGCTAGTGCTGGTCACTGTGCTTCAGGGCAGCCGTCCCAGCTCTGAGCCGTGTCTGCTTTTCCCACAGGTGGTTCTTCTGCTCCTTGGCATCCGCATCGGCCTGGCTGCTGTGCTTTGTTTCCATCTTGTTATATATTGTTATCCAGCATCAGGTCGACCCACGTGTGCTCCGCACGGATCCCCACTACCAAAGTACGTGCTGCTGCTCTGGTAGCTTCCCCTCAGGTTTCCTCTGTCTTAGCCCACCCTCCAGTCTGGAATGAGTCCCATCTTCGCTGCTCCGCCCACACTAGCCTTCAAGGCTTTTCTCGCACTTCATGTTTGGGAGCAGTGTGGCTGTGAGCAGCTCTGGGGACCATGCCCTAGAAATGCCCCCACCCCGTGGTGGCTGCAGCCTGCCAGGGCTGTGTGGGAGTGGCTGGTGCAGAATGGCCAGGGCCTGGCCAGGCTGCAGGCCTGCAGGACAGGGTGACTGTGGGGGTCAGGCACAGGGGTCAGGCTCTCTGACCTAGACATAGTTACCCTCCCTCAGCCTCACCTTCTAGACCCATAAGGAGGAATCATAACGGCCCCTGCAGACAGCGGGGGCCACAAGGGCACTTAGGTAAAGGCAGGACACACACCTGAGTAAGGAGTAAGGAGCAAGGGCTCACCTGGCTAGGCAGGTGCTCACTTGGTTGGGGAGGGAGGGTTCTCCTGGGCTGGGAGATACTCACCTGGACAGGAAGGTGGTCACCTGCTTTAGGCTGGTATCCCCACCCCCCCACACCTCCTTGCCAAGCTCTGTCCGCGGTGCTCACCTGAGGAGAGGTGCTGCCATGTCAGTAGGCGCTGAATGTCTGTGTCTGTCTTCTCTCCACAGACATCAACAGTCAGAACACATGGCTTCTGTTCCTGCCATATTTCCACCTAAAGGCAAAGACCCCAGTGGTTGTGATAATTGCAATGTTGGTGCTGGTGTTGGACCTCATCAGCCTCCTCATGATCGGGCAACTGTTCATCTTCCATCTTTACCTAAGTACGCTCTCCCCTGAACCTCCCGCCACAGCCCCAGTCCAGGTTGGCCAGTCTTTTCCCCTCATGTTCATATGTGACCTGAGGCAGGTGGCTGCTCCACTGGCCAGAAACAAGCTCTGTGCTCAAAGGGCAAGCCCTCAACTGAGAGGCAGCAGGGCCAATCCTGTTCCAAGAACTGCAGAAAACACGAAAGATTAAAAAGTATAGATTAACGTGTTCAGAGAGATAAATAGGGTCTAAGTCAGGACCGGGACCCCATGGAGATAGAACGGGGAACTGAGAAAAGCGCTCATTAAAATCCTAACAAGGAAAACATCCCACTCAGTGACAGGGTGTCCACTAGCCAGACAAGCTGCAGGGGGACTGGTGGTTTCCTCCTGTCCACAAGGTGGCGGCTCAGGACCCTGGGAGCTGCATCAATGTCCTTGACTAGGGGAGGGCGGGGCTGCCCCTGCCCTGTGAAGCCTTTCTTGGGAAGAAAGGAGGGGGTGGACAGGAAGACACCCCTGAGAGGGGAGAAGCATAGTGAGTTCAGGATTGAACATGTCTACTTTGGGGCATTTGGACACCAAAGAATAAATTTCCAGGTAAAGTTGGGATATTCTTTATAGGAAAACTAGCCTGAAATGCAGCCACTTAAAAGCACACGTGTATTACCTCACAGTGCCTGTGGGTCAGGAGTCCAGCACAGCTCAGCTGGTCCTCTGGCCCGGGGTCTTTCTGAGGCTTCAGTCAAGGTCCTGGCTGGGCCTGTGGTCTCACCTCCCCGGGGAGGCCCACTCCGGGCTCATCACCAGGCTGTTGCAGGGTCAATCCTCAGGAGTCTTGGGCAGGTGGTCCCTCCCATTCCTTGTCACATGCATCTTCAACATGACCCAGCAAATCATAACTCGGCTGCTGAGCAAATGAGAGGACAAGAGGGGGCAGCAAGGCGGAAGCCAGCCTCTCTCACCCAGGCGTGCAGGTGGTCCCCTGCCTTCCTGCAAGTCACTAGGAGCACTCCGCACTCCAGAGGGAGGCCACCAGGAACCAACACGCTGCAGGGGGCACTGCAGGGGCCACACGGGAAGCTTGGCAGCTGGATGCTGCCATTTGAAGCTTGGGACAGGGGCATCCTGATGAGTCCTCAGAACGGGAGTGGGAGAGACACTGTGAGGGTGAGATCTGCTGGGAAGACGCAGGACGTGGAGAGTGCCCACTGAGGACGGAGGAGAAAAGCCACAGTCATGGGACATGGATCAGAGAGCATCCTGGGTGAAATTAAGGAAGAGCAGGATTCTAGAAATCGCCCCGAGCTGATGTTGGAGGAGAAACTGGTGGACGTCCTTTAAAGCATGTACTTTGCACTCAGGCCTCAAAGTTCCTCGCCTGTGAGGTTTCAAGTTCTGTGCGGTGCCTCCCGTATTTATCGTTCTGTCAGTGTTCATTGTGTTACGGAAAATGTACTCAGAATAAGTGTGAGCTCTGGGAGGACATGCGCCCAAGCTGATTTTGATGGTATTTGTGCAAACCCACTAACAGTGGTTCTCAACCTTGGCTGCACATTAGAATCACCTGGGAATCTTTTTAAAATCCTGATTTCTGGGCCTCATCTTCCAGAAATTCTGTTTCTTTGTTACTAATGTTGTGGCCCCACCCCATAACAAAGAAACAGAATTTCCGGAGGACGAGGCCCAGAAATCAGGATTTTAAAAAGATTCCCAGGTGATTCTAATGTGCAGCCAAGGTTGAGAACCACTGCACTAGAATATACCGAAGTGCAAGTTTATATCCTCCAGCTGTTTCCCAGGTTGGGAGGGAAGGAGGAAAAATTCGGGAGGAGCCAGGTGGAGTGAATCAGGACAGATAAGTCAGGTCCAAACACAACAAAAGCAACAGCACTTGTCCAGACTGCTCAGGGCAGGGCATGAGGCTCTGCTCCATGGAGCTCCCTGCACCTGGGCAAGCAACCCAAGGGGGCCTGTTCCTGCCACAGCTGGAGCCAGAGTCTCGGCTTAATAACTAGTGTGCTGGGCAGGCACTACTCACAGGGCCATATTTACTTTATGGGCTGTGAGGCAGGCAGGGCGGCCCCTCCAGGGACCAGGGGAGGGGGACAGCGGCTCAGGAGAGTGTGAGGAGCTGCTGGCTGCTGCCCCAAGGCCAGGTGGGCTGTGCAGTAGCCGTCTGTCCAGCAGCTCCCCAGTAACTGGATGAGGACCTGACGCCCCAGGGTGCAGCTCAGGGGAGCTGGGTAGGTGCCTACAGTGGATGATGATGGTTCCTAACTGACCTTTTCCTCTTTTCTCCTTTTTAGTGTCAAATGGGATGAGCACTTACAATTATTGGAATCGAAGCCACAGACGTAGCTCAGGTGCCTCATCAAGGAACAAAATTCCTTCACTTCGTATACAAATATGGCCAGAGGTATGGATGTGCCCTTGTTTCATCATTCCTGTTTAGTCAGGGCTGGGACGAGGCCCAAGATCACCTTGTGGCTAGCACCACTTAGTCACAGTTCTTTACTTCTGTGTGGGCATTGTCCTGTGTGTGTGTAAGTGTGTGTGATGTGTGTGTGATGTGCATGTGAGTGTGTGTGGTGTGCATGTTTGTGTTACATCATTTCTATACTCACTCTGCATGGGATCCCGCCAGCAGGGCTGACTCTGGTAGGTCCATGTCTTGAGCTGCTGCTCGTCACACACTAAACACTTGCCCCTCAAAAGTCACCATTCAGAAAGTGAAAATAGAAGCCACAGACACAAACAAAATACTTACAAATGATATACTTGTATCCAGAATACATAAGGAACTTTCAAATCTCAATGATGAGAATAATGACCAAGTTTTTTAAATAGGCAAAACAACTGTTTACCAAGGTGGACACGTGAACATGCCCAACCTTGCCCTGCCGGGTGTCTCATTTGGTTGGAGCATCGGCCTGTGCATGAAAAGGTTGTGGGTTTCATCTCCAGTTGGGGCATGTAAGGGAGATGACAGATCAATTTTTCTCACATTTCTCTCTCTCTCTCTCTTTTTCTCCCTTCCTTTCTCTAAAATCAATAAGAATGTATCCTTAGGTGAGGATAAAAAAAAAGATGGTTGGCCTCATTTGGCACCAGGGGGTACAGATGAATAGCAGAAAGTACTACTACAGACTATGAGGCTAAAATCAAAAGGCCAGCAGTACCCAGTGTTGGTGACGCTGAAGGGAAACTGGAAGTCTCCACATTGCTGGTGGGAAAGGAAAGCTTCACCACTTTGGAAAGCAGTTTGCCGTTCTCTTAAAAACTGAAATAAGTATTTATCACATGAAGCAGCCATCCCACTCCCGGTTATTTACAAAAGGAAAGTGAAAAAACACAGGTACTCAGGTCACCAGAGTTGGGAGGATGCGCACGTGCTGTCCCCTTTCCTTGGACCCAGGAGCCTCTGAGCTGCCAGTACTCAAAATTGACTAAAAATTGACTGAATTTAGTGTAAGGTAAGCTCAGTGTTAGCAACATTTTTTTATTTTATGTATTTTCTTTTATCTCCACAGTAACCAGATCACAATCCGGGTTCATCTGCACAGAGGTAAGTTGTAATCTTACCAGAGTGATTTTTCCTGAAAATTAGCTGTTTTCCCTTTGTACACTGTCTTGCTTTAAAGAGTCATCTTTTCTGCAAATTAAACAAACATCCTCCATATTCTTGGCTAATTTTATAATTTTCATTTGCTTTCTTTATATTTTGATTTCCAAGCCATTTTGAATTTATGTTTCATTCACTGATATAGGAGCTAAGGTTACTTTGTCACAACATAACTCTGGGTCATCTTGTGGCCTTTCCTCGTCAAAGTGAATGGCCCCTTTCCTGACCCCCCCTCCCCCCCCCCTCCAGTTCCCAGGGACACCGGGCTCAGATCTGCCTCCAGACGCTGAACGGCTCCATGTCCCACAGCAGCACATGCTGTTTCCATGGCAGCGCTTTATTCAGCTACCTTGTAACACCTGGTAAGTGAATCCCCTCTTGAGATTTTGGTTTTTTTGTTTTTTTATTACTTTGACAATTCATTCACATGTTTATTTTTCCACATCAACTTTAAAATCCTTTATGTGCAGTTGCCTGGATGGGTCCTTAGTCTGAGCCCTGCAGGGAGACGGGAGACACCATTCGCCCCCATCCCATCGCCATCCCACCCCCGGAGCTCCTAGACCGTCCGGTCCCGGCGCCCCTCTCAGCACTGCTCTCGGGTGTAGCTGTCAAGGGCCAGTTTCTGGACTTCTCAGCACTGCATACAGCGTAGCTGGAGATGTTGCCGGCTGGAGTTCTCTCCCCTCCACCTTCCTCCTTCTATTCTCCAGCCTTCTGCCCCAGCCCTCTGCCTGACGCTTGCCAGGATCTGCCATCCCACACAGATTGTTGTGCTGCTGCTCTGCAACCTGGTGGCCAGAGTGGCTTCCTCCCCTCAAGGGCTGCCCAGCAGATGCTTCTACCCATGGTGGACTCCCAGCTGCCTGTGGTGAACTTTGGCTCCCTGCCACCACCTCCCCTTTCTCTGTTACCTGTGGGCCCTGCTCTGCAGCCCCCCGGTTTGGCTGTGCAGCCTCCACCTACTGCTCGGGTGCTGCCTTCACCTGCCAGGCCCTTCCCCACTAGCTTGGGGCAAGCGGAGCTTCACCCAGTAGAACTAAAGTCGTTCCAGGATGATCGAAAACTGAGCAGCAACCTCAGGGGAGCCGGCGCATCATGTACTCCCCCAGCTGGAAGGTCTTTCTCTGGCCTCAGTTCCCATCCCAAAGCCCCACCCTCCACTATAGCGATGCCTTCTGTGCCCAGCACATCGACCTTCACCAGCAGGCCTCCCCACCTGACTCCCTACACTGGATGCCGAAACCTTGGGAGCAGACAGGGCCACCTTCCTGAGAAGGGTCTTCCCGACCGGCAGAAGAGCCTGGGTCCCCAGGGCACAAGGAGCCTAGGTTGCCTCCACCCTGCTGAAGGAGTTCCCTTTGCCTGTACCCCCGCACCCCCAGCCTTTTATGTAAATTATCAATATATAAGGGGAAAAGGGATGGGTGGAAGGGGTTGTGGGGCTGGGGCCTCGATTCCCCTCATCCCTACTCCCCTGGTCCCCATCCCTGGGGCCATTTGTTTAAAAAATATTAATAATAAAATAATTTTTAAAATTAAAAAAATAAAATCATTTTGTGCAGTTCCCAGAAACCTGGAATTTTAACTGGACTGACATTAAATACAGGCACACCTCGTTTTATTGCACGTCACCTTATCGTGAGAAACCATAAGCAGGGGAAACAGAGGAGGACGAGGAGACGTACCCACAGTTGGCTTGAGTCTGAGGAGTTTCAAGTTGGAGCTTGGCCCAAATCTCCTGAGAACATGCTGGTCTATTGAAAGGCCTCCCTCTCGGGTTGAATAAGGGAGATTCAAAAAGAAGAGGAGAAAATGGAGAGAGTCATTCAGGAAGTAAGACCACTCAGGGGCTTGCTCCAGGAGCATGGCTTGCTGCCAGGTTTGCTCAGCTGCTCCTTCTGCTCTGGGAGCTCAAGGTTTTGGAATAGCTGGGAGCCAAAGAGCGAAAGCTCTGTGAGCGAAAGCTCATGGAGCGCTTCAGTTGTGCTGCTGCGATGGCTTAGCGAACAGGGGAAGGGGAAGGTGGGCCAGACAACAGGGCAGCAAAGCTCTGGGCTTGGAAGAAAGGGTCTCAGCGACACCCTGGGTACTTGCCCTTGAGCTCCCAATGAGGAGGAAGTTCTGCACCAGCAGGAGAAAAGTAGGTTTTCCCCTGGAAACTGAAAGGGCGAGGGCTACGCCCTCCATCTTGCCCCGAATCCTCCATTTTTGGGCAGCAGCCATGAGCTCAGCAAGGAGCTTCTTCCAGGAAGCCCAAGCCTCTGCTAGCCACACCGAGGATTTCTTTAAACTAACCAATGATAATCAAGGGAAGTGCGCGCCATAGATACGACCACATCCTGTGTAACAAGACACCGACTTGCGCATGGCCAATCGGCAGGGCCCACAGTCCTCTCTCCTCCCCTTACTATAAAACCCCTTTCCCCACAGAGCTGGCCCGCTCTCTGCCTCTTGCTACTGCGTCGGTGAGTGTGGTAGATGGGGAGCCCGAGTTAGCTCGAATAAAGACTCTAATGCTTTTGCATCGGACTTGTCTGGCTCCCTGGTGTGGTTTCTTGGGGATCCTGAAATCTGGGCATAACATTTGGGGGCTCGTCCAGGATCCCCAAGACCCTCGAGGGACCCCCGATCCGGAGAGTCTGACTGGCCGCGGTAGGTGTCTGTGTGTTTGTGTGTTCTGTCCTGTGTGAGCTCATCTCTGTAATTCTGGTAGTGCCCAAAGCGGTCTAGGTGGACACACTGGAGGACCATGGGCCGGGGGAGTCGGAAGACGTTCCTCTCCCCCTCTGGAGGGATGTGGAATCCCCTCACGACGAGGGACATGTATCCCCCTCACAAGGGACGTGTATTCCCCTCGAGGATCTGAGACGAGGCGGGTCGCTCCCGCCGGTTGGCGTACGGCCATTGTCTAGCTTTCGGTTTTGCTTCGATGGAGTTGGAAGACTGTACTTTTGGGCTCTTTAGCTGTCTGTGTTTGTGTTTTTTTCTATTTTATTCTGTGGACTTACTGGACGGACATTATGGGACAGACTCAAACTACTCCTTTAAGTATTATGATTGATCATTTCAAAGAGATTAGGGGAGGCTATAGAGCTCCCTCAGGAATTGGGAAATTGTTAGAAATTGGATGGATTGTTTAAACTCTGAATGAATGTTTGGTGAAAGTGTGTGAGTGTGGAGGGAGGGGGCCTGCCCTCTCCTCTCCTTTGTGTGGCTCTATGACTTCGGTCAGGCGGGCATCTGAGTGAGGATCTGTGAAAACAGGTCACCCCCTCCCTTGTCTGTCTCTCGTCACCCCCTCCCTTGGGGTCGGGACAAAGTTTGTTTGTATAAAAACTTATGTCTAGGTATTTTGAAGTGATATAATGCTGAAATATTGCTAGAGGACAGAATTGAATCTGTAGTTGATTATGTCTTGCATTTTTGAAGTTTATTCTTAAAAATGTTACTGATTGAGAAATGCTGAATATTTGACTTGCCAGCTAAAAGTTTAAGGTTTGGATTGAATTGGGAAAAATTGTATAATTGTGGTAACTAAATGCCTTTGCTTATTGGTCTGATTGAGAAAGGAAGATTGATTTTGTGACCTCAACTGAAGATTTTTGATGCAAGGACCAGTTTAAATTTAATTGATATTCTTTAAGATAATTATAAAAGGTATAAACAGCTAATGAGATTTCAGTTTGTCTGCAATATAATGTTGGCCATCTATCTTTTAGGGATCTTGGTTTGCAAAAAACAGTGTAGACAGCCACCATTTTGGGCTGCATGACTTGGCAGCCGCCATGTCAGCCACATGGCTTGTCGCTCCCCTGGGGGCCGCCATCTTGAAACAGCAAAGGCCCCTCCCTCTGATTTAGTCAATCACAGAAGGAGTGTCTGCTCACTGAGGCAGGCTGGGATTTCAGGGGTGGAGCTTTAAGGCGGAGCTTTACTACAGAAATGTGGATGGGGCAGGAAGTGTGCTTGCCTCTCGGATTTATTTAATACTATTTTAAGCTAATCTCTTAAATCTAGAAAA